TAACCCCCCCCCCCCCCCCCCCCCCCCCCCCCCCCCCCCCCCCCCCCGCCCCCCCCGCGCCGCACCGGAGCCGCGCGCACAGCTCATCCCCCATTATCCCCGAAAAGGCAGGAGCGCCGATCGATAGCGGTAAAATTCAAGTTTACGGTCCTCGAGGCTTTTCGCAAGGAGGCGCAAAGATCCGGATGGCATTCACAGAGGTAGTAAAGAGAGAATAGCGTAACACGCGGGCAAAGGCAAAATAGAAGCGGGTGGGTTGCTGCTTCTCTTTTTCTTAGGCCTTCCGTACTTTTGCGGAACAGTTGCTGACAGGACAGGACGCTGCGATTTCAGTTCCCGGAACACCGGTCAAGGAGAGCCCACTATGAGAGGTTCCGCCTTGTCGGGTTGGGGCACCTCTTTTGTCCCAACCAGAACGTGTACGATTTCCACTGGAGTGGTGGGGGGTTCATTCATTCCTTACGTTTTCGAACGGAAGCAGGAGCGGGCTTCTCGTCGCTGGGTTGGAGCAGCGCGTGTCTCGTTCATACCGACAGCCGGTGGACTTTGTGTGGTTAGGAGCAGGGGGAGGAATGGGATGGGGAAGATGGGCTCGGAAGGATCGGATGCCGCTGGCGGGAGTCCGGGGTTTATGCAAGATTCGAATTCGTGTGGCGCGTCATGGTCGAGCGTTAGAGTCGGGTCGTGTGAGTCGGTAGAAGGGCCAAGGGGAAAAGATCACGGCAACCAACTTGAGTAGTATCTAACGCGTTGTCGGCATCTCAGGAGGAACACTTGCCTACAGTGCGATCGGTCGAAACGGTGGTTCGGGCATTCGGGCGTCTGAAGGGATGATCCGGTGTTCTTCTTCTCTGATGATTGCCCGTACGGCACGTTCGGAGCGCGGAGCGATTTGGAAGGTTTGGATCGAACCCGCAGCTGGGGAAATTGTTCAGAATTCAGCTGACTGACTCTTTTTTTTTTGTGTGTGGAGGGTTGGGGGACTCAACGTAACCCCCGCTGCAGCATCCGGATCCCCCGACGAGGAAGAGAAAAACCCAAAAAGTCAGGCATAATGGAGTGGATTCGGACGAAGATTGACTCGCGACTTCAGAGGCAGAGGGTTGACATTAAAAGGCTAAGACGCGATTCTTCGGTTCGGCGCGGGGCGGGTGGAAAAGTAATTCATGGATTATCGCTATCTGAATCATCGCATTGGTCCCACTGATGACTATCCGTACGTCCCCATTTGCTTCGGCGGATCATGGCAGTCGGGAGAGCAATCCGGTGTTGGCATGGGGGCAGCTCCCGTTTTATATGCGAGGGCATGGGTACGAGTCAACGGGTGGGATGACATGTGAGGTGTGCGGGGATACGGGCAGAAGCGCCCAGAGTCGGGATCGAGCGTGTTGCGAAGATAATTACAGGAGGTAGTGCTTTTAGTGCCCAAACGTGTGGCAAGAGGAACCCTCTGGCCTATCGATCTGACCTCCTACTAGCAACCCACCCACCAGGTCCCACACCGCATCGCCATCCACCAAATTTTAGTCGCGCCCAACCCCGACATCCCATCCCCACCCTTCTTATTAACCCCTTCCCTCACCTGCTTTCCTCCCTCACCTGCTCTGCTCTCTCCCCTTCACCTTCAAACGTCTTTTTGTACGTACCCTCACTCCTCTGGTATGTGTACACAACATCAGTCCATCCTTGGAAAGCGCGCGTCGCTCATTGGGTCCTCCCCCCTTCTTAGGAAAAGTCCCGCCGCGTTGGTGTTGGTGTCCTCCCCTTCCACCTCCAGATTGACCACCTCTCATCGTATTCTTATTCCCCCTTTTCATCTTCCAAATACCTTTCCCGTTCTTTATGTGAAGCAGTCCTCGCTGCCACCCGCTAGACCAACACATCCAACCGCCAGACATTTCAATCCCGACCACCACCCTCGATATGTCAACTCTTGCCGCTCAACAATCCACATTCCACGGTCTAAGCATCAAGAACGACTCGAGAGACGAGAACTACCAAGACATCTTCGAAGGCTGTAAGTTTCTCCCTCTTGTGCGGTCTCGAGACCCCAGTCCAGGTCCAAATAAGGCTTATCATATCTCGCCCTCACCTCAACCCACCCACCCCTTCACCTTACCCCCCTTCTTCGGCACACACGAAATTTTTTCTCTCTCCCAAACCATGACGCCCTAAACCTCCTTTGCGCTCGCTCTATTTCTCCCACTCCCCCCTGTTCTTTTTCACAGTCATCAGAGAGTCCCCCGAGCTCAACCTCATCAACGACTTGCCGACTGCTGACGACGAAATCGATCAGAAACCTCTGATCCACTCCGCCGCCTTTGGGCACCCCCACATGCAGCTGCCCCTCCTCCAACACCATCGTCTGCACAATCCAGTCCATCCACCACCCCTCTCCATCCTCAAACCCCACGTCCTTCAGCAACCCTCCACGACGCCCACCTCTTCCGGCGGCATCTCACCCACCCTCACCTGGAGTGGAGATCCTTCCCCCATCGACGACGCAAACTCGCCCACTTTGAACGACTCGGCCGATCTCGACGGGGAGGAATGGAACCCTCCTTCCTCTTCGCCGACCGCACAACTCTTCTCCGCCCCAGCTGCCGCCAAATCCTCCTCGTCCCGCCGCAATTCCGCTGGCAGCGCTAGGGGCAGGGAGTCCGCCGCCGCGCTCGAAGCCGACAGTCGCGCAAGCAGCCACTCCCACTCCCGCTCCCGCTCCTCCAAACGCTCCGCATCCTCGTCCACGTCCGCTGATGGAGGCGACGAGCTCACCATGTCCAACTTGTCCATTCAGAACGGCACCACGTCCCTGAGCGCGTTGATGTCCGGACCCCCCTCTCCGGAAGCCTCCATCGCTGGTGCCTCGGCTCACACCCCCAAGCCCTCAGCCCCAGCTCGCAAAAAGACCCGCACGAACTCGTCCTCTCGCTCGTCCATCTCGTCCATCGATGCCTTGATCTCCGAGGCCATGGGCTCGAACAGCAACAACAATAACAACAGCGCTGCCGGACGACTTGTCCCGACCGGTCACCGCCGCAACATCACCTCCGCCTCCCTCGTACCCCTCGACGCACCCACGCAGATTCGAAACTACCTCACACCTTCGTCCACATCCAAGAAGGAGATCCCCAGCGCGTTCGTCGCGCGCAGGAACAAGCTCAAGGCGAAGGAGGCCGCGATCTCCAAGGTGTCCCCTCCCGGTCCCTCGACCGCCGGCCGCAAGCGCACCCGCGACGAGGCTGGTGGGGACGAAGTCGACCAGCTCCAGGACGACGACATGCCCATGGCCAACAGCGCCAACGCCGCCGCGTCTCCCTCTACGACACCCTCGTCGCCCACCAACGGGGGCCCTGGGACAGCGGAATTGGCGAGCGAATCCTCCAGCCTCCTCAGCGCCATCGAGGCCAAGCGTCGCCAAAACACGCTCGCGGCCAGGCGAAGTCGGCAGCGCAAGCTCGACTACGTGAGGAACCTGGAAGAGCTCGTCGCTGCTTTGACCAGGGAGAGGGACTCGTGGAAGGCCAGAGCCGAGGGCGCGGAGAAGATCCTCGGCTACCGTCCTGACGAGGACGAGATGGACGAGGCCTAAAAGCCTGTATGCATAACATCCATCGAGCCATTCTCTTCTCCTCTTTCCGTCCCCTTTCTCTTCGTTCTGCGTTCATGCGCACCTTTGTATTACCACAGTCATCGACCAAAAGAGAAAAAGGCCTTCCCTGGCTTCCCCCGACTTTTCTCTGGTTCCTCCGGTTCCCCTTACCCGCGTTTTGGCCTGCTCCCTTCCTGCAGTACACTGTGTCATTAGAGCTTCAACAACACCCTTGTTCCGTTTTTAAGCCCACTTCTTTTCCGTCGACTCA